CGGTCCTATCAATCGGCTGGTCATGCCGAGCTCTGTGCATTAACGTTGTATTGCACAAATTTGGAAAAAACTTAAAATATATAAACATTTGCTTTGAATCTGTTTTTATCTTTGACAAATTCATTGAATTTGAAACGTTTCATTTACAATGTAAACGCAATTTGTTTTGCACAAATATGTTATATTGTATATTTTTGGGTCTTGGTCACTCACTCAATCATTGATATTCACTACCTGTTGAAATAAAATGATTAAAATTTATTGCCTAGACACAAATATGCCCAGAAGGCGGTGGCTCATGGGCCAATCTGGTAGATTAATTAATTTTCAATTAATTCTTCTCTTTATTATACCACCTCAGTATCCTGGAGGCCCACTGGTGTTAAGCATTGTCTTTATGACACTCCGTGGTGGGTGGGGAGCCAAATCAACATGGCACAAACCAAAAAAACCAACGTGCACTAGATGATTCCTCTGATGAGGAAAATACTTTTTTGAAGAATTCTTCGAGCAGCTGGTCTAGATTTTTAGTGGTTACTGCTGCTGATGGTACGCCATTGAAGCTTAACCCGTTTGCCATTTCTAAGGCGATGTACGGCATTGCAGGCGATGTTCAGGATTTGAAAAAAATTCGTTCAGGATTTCTACTAATTGACTGTAAACATGGTAAAAGTGCAAAACAATCTACTTTATTGCAAGCTGTCAAACATTTGGTTTCTGTTCCTGTGGTAATTTCCCCACACAAGACTCTCAATTACAGCAAAGGGATTGTAAGAGACAGGGAACGTTGTCTCTGCGATATGACAGAGACTGAAATTGCAGATGAGCTACATGATCAAGGAGTTACAAACGTCAAACGTTTCACGTATGAAAGAGATAATCAGATCTTCAAATCAAACACCTATCTCATGACTTTCTCAAAACCAGCTCCTCCTAAAAATATCAAAGCAGGATATTTCAACATCGAAGTGGACAAATTCATTCCCAACCCACTTCGATGTTACAAATGTCAGCAGTTTGGGCATGGTGCACAATCACGCAAAAATCGCAAACTATGCCATCAATGTGGAGAAAATGACCATGACACAGATGACAAATGTACGAAAACCCCTCACTGTGCAAATTGTTCTGGCGATCATGTAGCCTCTTCAAAGACATGTCCCAAGTTCCAACTTCAGCTTCAGATTGTTAAGCTGAAACACGAGAGAAACAATACCTTTCCTGAAGCGAAACGTTTGGTTCTACAATCTGCCTCGACTACCACAGCTGTGTCATACTCGGCAGCTGTGACTCGCACATCCCCTAGATCTGTCACGTCTGCCCATTGCCAGACAAATGTTACTTGGATTTCAGCAGAAAAGTATTCCCTGTTACGGTCAGGTACTTCTTCACAAACAAATGATGCACCACAATCAGCGCCTGTGTCAACATCGTCAATGGCAAGTGCAACAACTCCAACACCTTCCCCTGTTGTCAAAAATGCCAGCAAAAAAATTATTATTCAAAACAATCAGATCGTGTGCCAAAGGGTCACCGCGACCCCATACAGATTTATAATCGTTTTGACACATTGGAGGACATGGATGTCTCTCCTCATCCTGGGCGCAACAGAAGTAAGTCGCCGTGAAATGGGAGACGTAGATCTCCTGCTTATATGTAGAAGCTGATGAACCATCGTTGAAGCAGCGGCGTATCAAATTATTGCTTCAATATATTGCAAAATTACGTTCTAACCTGTTTAACCCTGCATATAACTGTATATTTCAACCCCTTTACGAAGACATTTTTCATAGTAAGCCTAAGCTGGTCCCACCACTAGGCATTCGGATTAAACCACACATTACAGCTGCACATATTGATTTAGATAATATTTCTCCTTTCAGGCTTCTGTCTTCCCCTCCTTGGCAGCTTATCAGACCGGAGATGGACTTCACTCTCACACAATTTAAAAAACAAGACACAAATCAATTAGTTTATCAGCAAGAATATTTACAAGTTAGAGCTAAATACGAATCCCACCGTTCCATTTTTACAGATGGATCCAAGGACGGCAGCACAGTCTTCAGTGCTGCTGTCATTGGATCCAAAACCGTCTCATCTCGCTTACCAGACCATAGCTCAATTTTCACCGCTGAAGCCAAAGCAATATTAACTGCTTTGGAATATATCCAAAAACAGTACAGTTGTAAACGGTTCATCATCTTTTCAGATTCATTATCGTGTCTACAGGCGATCAAATCTAGCTCTTTACATCATCCATTCATTTTACATATTTTAGAATTGTAAAATGACCTTGCTACTGGCCAATACGACATCGTCTTTTGCTGGTTGCCCAGTCATGTTGGAATCACGGGAACACTATGGCTGATGCTGCAGCAAAGGCAGCTCTCAACAAACCTGTGACACCACTTCTGATACCATACAGTGACTATAAACCTGTTATTAGATCCTATATCAAAGACCTAATGCAGAAGAAGTGGGACACTCAAGTGGGTATAAATAAATTACATGCAATTAAAGCAGATATCGGTTATACCTACTTGGGCTGTCAGTCCAGATTTGAAGAAGTCGTATTAAGACCATGTCGTATTGACCATTCTCGTTATACTCATGAATATTTGTAAAAAGGTGAAGATCCTCCATTCTGTATCCCTTGTGATGAAAGAATCACGGTCAAGCATGTCCTGCTTGACTGTTGATTTTTCCATCACAAGGGACAATTATTTCCAGGTTTCATCTATGAAGGATCTTTTTAAGGTATGTTCTCATTTAATTATTGCTTTTTTAAAATAAAGATAATTGATTGATAAATATTGGTGTATTGTAAAAAGTATGTGCTTTTAATTTGGTAAAATGATTATATAACTGTGATTGTTAGTGGCTGTACCTTCAAAGGGGGTTGAAGTAGCGTAAAATAATCGTCCCCTGAGAGGGTACATACGTCCTATTTCATTCAAAGTATTTTTCATTTTCAATGTTTTTAATCGTAGAATTCTTGTTGTTTTTAACTGATTTGGCTTAAACTTGCTGACAATCACCAGTAGCCAGAGCGATGGTGTAAATCCTGCTGGGTTACCAAGTAGGTACCTAGTATGGTGACCTACGTTTGGCTAATGGTGATCTATAGCCCATTTTTATTGTGTACTGTTATGAATTGTTACGAATTTTATTATGATATGCTAGTTTTACAATCTACATCTGTGATAGTCTAGTGTTTTTACTGTCCTTTGTCGACAGATTTTAATGTCTATATTTATGTATTATTAATGTCCAACTTGATTTAGTCACGATATGGCTGAAATATTGCCGATGTGACTATAAATCTTCACTCACTCACTCACTCATTCAGAATCGTCTGTGAACGATCACATTTCTTCTCTGTATCAAGTTTCTATTTTCTATCCCAGAATGCAATATATTTTTCCCCGGGGATGCTCAGTACTACGGGTGTGACGTCATTTTGTTTTTCTATATTAACAACAAGAGCTTTAATGTCGTTCCGCTTGTTTCCATTGTTCTCTCAGCTGTCATTACGACCCTCCATCCATCCCCATCTCCACCAAGGGGCTGGCTCGGAAGGGGCTTTGCAAGCCAATCATTCTGTAAACTATCATTATATGGCTTGCGGCCCCCAAAGCATTTTCATTTTCACTCATACCCGCAGGGTATCACCCTTTCTACATATTTTCATTTTATCTTTTTAGATCTACCCGCAGGGTTCTAAGTCATTTTCATATATATTTCAAAATTACTTATGCAACCCGCAGGGCTGCCTTTTTATACTACTTACCCGCAGCGTAAGTTACCTTTCCAACACCGAGTCAGCCCCCAAATCTTATGCCAAGTATTGTATATAATAAACATTTGATCGTACTCAATTGTTTTGTTGTCACTGCACAAATTCAATATTCACAGCAGAAGCGCACGCAATTTTAACAGCTCTAAAATATGTCAAGAACCAATCAAAATATAAACAAGTCATTTTTCAGATAAACTCTTGTGCCTTCAGGGTATTAAAAATGTCTTGTAAACATCCATTTTTTATTGAAATTCTTGAGATATTTAATGATCTTGCTACTGGCCAATATGACATCGTCTTTTGTTGGTTACCAAGCCATGTTGGGATCGATGGTAACACAATGGCTGCTGCTGCAAAGGCAGCACTCAACAAATCTGTGACACCACTTCTGATACCATACAGTGATTATGAACCTGTTATTAAATGTTTCATCAGAGATCTAATGCAGAAGACGTGGGGCACCCAAGTGGGTATAAATAAATTATATGCAATAAAAGCAAATATCGGTTATACCTGCTTTGGTTGTCAGTCCAGATTTGAAGAGGTCGTATTAAGACAATGTCGTATTGGCCATTCTCGGTATACTCATGAACATTTATTGAAAGGTGAGGATCCTCCATTCTGCATCCCTTGTGATGAAAGAATCACGGTCAAGCATGTCCTGCTTGACTGCATTGATTTCTCCGTCACAAGGGATCAATATTTTAAAGTTTCAGGAATCAAGGAATTTTTTTACACTGGTAAGTACTCGTTTAATTCTTGTTTTTTTAAAGGAAATTCAATTGATTAATAAATTTTGATTATGTTTTTTAAATAAATAAATTCATTTTTATAAATTGGTTGAATAAATCAGTAACTGAGATTGTTAGTGGCTATAGCCTCGAAGGGGGTTAAAGTAGTGTCCCCCTGAGAGGGTATGTAAGACCACGTCTTTCAAAGTATATTTATTTCTTCCACGTTTTTATTCGCAGCATATGTGTTATTTTAATGTTTGGCTAAATTTGTCAGCCATCGCCAACAGCTGAAGGGATGATGTAAATGTCAGATTTTGTTTCGTCACGATATGGCTGAAATATTGCCGATGTGACGTTAAATTTAACTCACACACTCACATAAGAAATTCCAGTTAATGTGACCAATTATTTTAAACTAGACCAGATCCACCAGATACAAGTTTAAAAATTATAAAAGGTGTTTTTTATTCATTTGGGAGTTAAAGTCAAATTATATTTGATACATGAGATAATGGTATAAAATGTCATAAAATACTGGCACTTCAACTCAAAGATATTATCTAAGATGATCATATAATTTTGGAGAAAGGCATGTAAGAAAGAATGCGTACAGGAATAATTTTAAAACTAGGTAATATGTGACAATTTGGACACTGGCTGGCATTACCTTACGTTTGAGTTTACGATTTTGAACATTTGTTCATGTAAAATTCACCTTCTAATTCGTAATCTTAAGAACAGTATCTTCTCAATACTCTATCCGTCTACGATCGACATGACACTGAAGAAATAAAGACGCGTTTCAGTGACTTGGGTCGTTTTCGTTTCTTTAAGTAACACGTGCGATAATGGGCATTACTGGGTCCCCATGCTGCATCTGGTTCTAAGGACGTCTTTATCCTCTGAAATACAATAATCAGTATTATGAATTTGCATGCATAAAATAAAAGACACTGCACTCGGTGGAAACCCAGTAGAGTAGATCTCCAGCACACTATAGCTTGTCGTAGGATGCGACTAAATTCCCCCACACATATATGGAGATTAAAATCTCGACGCGTGTTATATTGATTTTATGAAACGCGTGTCATATTGATTTTATGAAACGAGTGTCATAAAGATTATGATACGGTGCCATTACAATCAACTGCATGCACACTTGAATCTTCTGAATCTTTATCATTAGGTGTAGATAAATTGTAGATTATTATATTGAAACCCTGTCAAGAAGTTAACACTATCGAAATTACATCGATCATCATTTTTATGTCAGTATCAATGCCATTATGCTCGTGAAATGATTATTATAAGTGCTCTTTGTTTGGTTTTTATATCAACTATCTAGTATTCAACCATATTTGAGAAAACATAAAAACACGTTGTGAAAATACTGTGCTAGTTACCTGCCGAATGTCCCCCTTTCCCTGGGCAATAGCGACAACCATCATCAAGCAGACTGGCATCATTGGTATGGCTGCTATACACCAACCAATGGCTGAAGCGTAGTCCGGGAAGACATACTTCCCATATGTTGGAGGTTTGTACTGAGTCAAGGTGACAATTAGGGTTGTCTGAAAATATAAATAATTTCTTGAAATATAAGTTCTTCTGCTTTCATAATTTCAGGTATTACAGTATGCTTTAAATAATCAATGAGTCTGAGCTTGACTGTTAACATCGTTTGCAGAAAGAGACTTAGGACTAAGCTTAGGACTATGTGATACATGTGATGAAGGTAATCCTTCTCGTTGGTAATATTTCAGTCACAAACAATTTGCTAACAAGGACAAGGGTTTTTGTTCATGCTTCATTTATCATGTGGCATCATGACGTTATCAAACTGGCAAAATCTAACCAGGAGCATGGCTGGTGTAACATAACACCACGTGATCTTGAAGAACAGAGGCGCTGGTCTGCCAATCATCATCTGAATGTCATCGCTGAAGCGATCCACACCTTGAATATGAACCGTATATCATACACCCAGCTATCACGTCACACACGGTTTAGAAATGTTATGAATATTACATCTGTGCCTGGAAATTTAGACTAAGAGATTAGACATGGAGAAGGGTCATATTAAGCTGATCTGGTTGTAATGAACATATGCAGAGATGCCTCTTTAAATCAACAATGATAGGGAATCTTTCATATCACGGAATATCCTTTAGAAGGGGTCTTAACGTAGCTTTAAAACTATGTGTTGGTTGCAAACCAGTGTTCGTTATATTCATAAATAAAGTGTGTATTGTTACATTAGACATTAATGCAATTTTCTAGATGTTTCAGTTCATAATGTTTGAGGAACGCGTTACCAGCGGTGCACTGAAGGCGAGAGTCTGACAGTATCGCTGTCTAGAGATGGCATATATTAAGCATTGATGAATTCATTTTACATACTTTTAAGTCCGCAGCACTTACCATAGATCCAGGAAACTACTACACACTCCATAAAACCACAGAATATGAGGAAAATAGAGAAGAGGTACCAGTCTAATAACTGAAAAACGTATACACCTCCCTGAAAGTAAGGGAAAAAGAACCATGACAATAGTGTACCATCTCATGAAAGTTATCATATATCAAATAAAGGGCTTCAGACATTGTATTCATGTCTCAAGTAAAGTGTTTGAAGTAACATTTAAGTTAAGCTACCCAACCGCCCCAAAAATTAAAGGTAGGTTTTCCCCTCAATTGATCATATTAAGTAGAATATATCATACCATGCGTCGTTAGCGTAAACATTCAGATAGGTTTGTATACTATACTAGTAACAAACCTCAGTCGTCAAAACAAGGCCAGCTAGGAAGGACACTGAACAATAGACGGCTGTCACCAACATTCTCCACTTCAACAAGAAACGGAACTCATCTACGATAGCGGTTATCACAGTTTCAGCTGCAGAGAACTGGAAATAAGATAACATGCGATATAAGACTGGTGACATCTGGAATCCCAAAACGCCATGATACAATGCTTCCGTGATATTGACCCCGTCTGGTAAATATAATGAGGAAAAAGAGAACTCAGCCGTCAATATTTAATTGGTGTGGTGTCAATGTCACGAATTTTTAAGTTTGGGATTGACATAAAAATGATATGCATCAAGACATTTCCGGGATCCAGCCCAATTACAAATGCCAATCAGATTGCAGAGCACAGTTACTTTACAATGCAGTTTAGTAATAGTTGAAATGTCAGTCTCAGACAACTGGTATCGAAGCCATGGTTTTGAGTCTAGGCTTAGTGGGTATTTTTGTAATTCTGTCTATTTGGAAACTTCCTTGGATTGAGTATATACCTGCTAACACAGTTCTGGTCAATGTTTGCAATATCACAACAAAAGGAAACATATCTATTCTCGTCAATTATGTGCACAAGACTCTCTTTACTTTTCCCTAAACTAGAGCTAGCAAAACTACGCTCCTAGCACAGCATAAAAAGTATGTCTAGTGATTATAACAAAAATACTCACAATGGAATCCAGTGCCAGCATGATGAGCATGATAAAGAAGATGAAACTCCACAGCTGAGGAAGCGGGAGTTGTGCAAGGACTTCTGGGTAGATCACAAAGCCCAATCCAGGTCCTAGAACATGCAACATGTTTTAGCGTGGATAACCTTGCTATTCCACCACTGCATAATTCTTGATTCTGATTGGTCAAAATACAGTCTAAATGAGTTATCTAATTCCAACAGATAACTTAAAAGTCACACAAAACCATTGCGTATGAATACATAAATGTATAAATGTAAATAGCCTATCACACTATGCTACGGCAGTATTCATGGGTGGTTTGTTTGTTTGTTTGTTGTTTTACGCCGCACTCAGCAATATTCCAGCTCTATGACGGCGGTCTGTAGATTAGAGTGAGTGAGTGAGTTAAGATTTAACGTCACAACGGCAATATTTCAGCCATAAAGTGACGAGATCAATTTATACATCAATAATAAAGACATTTTGACAATATATAAACCTGTCAACAAAGGACAGTAAAACAAACTAGACTATCACAGATATAAAAAGATGTAACGATACACAATACATGATAAAAACAGGCCATTGATCGCTAATTGCAACCACTGAAGGTAGATCACCACGCTAGGGTCCATGGGGACTTTACAGTACTTTTGCTACCTGCATGGGCCCTAGCAGGATTTACACCATCCCTTCAGCTGCTAGCGATTGTATGCAGGTTTAGCCATAAATTAAATCTAACAAATATACTACGATTAAAATCATGGTAGGCCTAAATCTACTTTGAATGATGTGAAACTTACTTATCCTCTCAGGGAGACAATAATTTACAGTACCTTAACCCCCTACAAGGATACTGCCACTAACAATTACAGTTGCTAATTTAATCTACCAAGTTTAAAACATTCATATCTTTTTACATAAGAAGCACATTTTTTCAAACAACTCAATTTCCTTTAAAAAATCAATAATTACAGGGGCGCAACCGACGGCAAACAGGTTGCCCAATGTAGTCGCCGCGCAGTACATTATAGAGTCTGGGCGAGACAATCCAGTGATTGATATCATGAGCATCGACCTTCGCAATTGGGATCGATGACATGCTTCAACCAGGTCAGCGAACCTGACCACCTGATCCCGTTAGTCGCCTCACACGACAAGCATAGTCGCTTTTATGGCAAGCATGGGTTGATGAAGACCTCGTTGGCAATGTTTCAGTTTCAGTTTCATGTTGTTTACCGTCGCACTCAGCAATATTACAGCTATATGACGACGGTCTGTAAATAGTCGAGTCTGGACTAGACAGTCCAGTGCTTGACATCATCAGCATCGAACCACGCAGTTGAGATACGATGACGTGCATCAACCAAGTCAGCAAGCTTACGACTAGCATAGTCGTCTTTTACGACAAGCATGGGTTGCTGGAGACCTATTCTACACCGGATCTTCACGGGTCTCGTTGGCAATGAGGTTGTGTCAGCGGGTCCATTTTCAATAGACAACCGCGAGGTTAAAGCTGAACACAATTACAAATCGGGGTCGTCCTATGGATACATTTATTCGAAAATAGGATCGTTGTGTATCTAGTAAACTAGTTACACAAATATTCTAGAGCATCGTTGTATAAGCATCAGTGGAGGGGACAGAGAATGTAACATATACTCTGACGAACTGGAAGTCAGTGTAGTGAGTGAGTGAGTGAGTGAGTGAGTGAGTGAGTGAGTTGGTTTTAACGCCGCTTTTAACAGTATTACGGTTATATAACAGCGTGTCAGCAAAATGTCGGAAGAAAGCTCGAAGTGATGCAAGTCTCAGACGTTTACCTCTTCAGGTGAAACCCACGAACACGGGTATGGTGCTGACAAACCTAGAAACAGGACCCACGATCCTAGGTTTCTGGCGTGCCCCAGTGAAGCAACTCTGCACAGCGAAACACGGCCCCTTAGACGACTGTGCCACCCGTGCCACCGGAAGCCAGTGTAAGTAGTAAAGGACTGGGGTGATGTGATGATACTTGCTACAGTATGAGACAATCCTAGCAGCTGTGTTTTGAACAAGATTGTTTATATAATTGATTAGAGTGCACCAGTCAGGAGGGTATTTCACTACTCTATCAGCTGAAATGTACTGGACAGGAAAAATGACCATAAAAAATCAAAGTGACATATCAGACACGGACCTGCCTAGAGCATGATCATGCATACCAAAATCCTCAAGGATTCAGAAGTTTGTTGTGGTCAGTAGCATCAAATGCAGAGCTACGTTATCATAACCAACACCAGACCTTAAATAGTCGAGGACCGAAAGCAATAGCAGTGCTGAGGGCGAAGGTGCTGTATAAGTTGTGTGGTCTAAGAAACCATGGAACGCATTGTCAATAATAGATTAACATAATTTAATCACAAATATTCAATGTGGATTCCGTAAAAATCGCAGTACCATTGACCATTTAGTTAGATTGGAGTCATTCGTTAAGAATGCCATTGTGAACAAACAACATTCAGCATTCTTTTTCGATTTAAAAAAAGCATATGACACCACATGGAAGCATAGTATTTTAAAAGATTTACATGACTTTGGATTGCGAGGCCGTTTGCCTTAATAAATAACCAATCTAAACATAAACAATTCATTATCTTTCAGATTATCATGTGTCTTATAAACATCCACTTTTTATCCAAATTCTCGAATTAATTAATGATCTTGCTACTGGCCAATATGACATCATCTTTTGTTGGTTATTAAGCCATGTTGGTATCACTGGTAGCAACACAAATCTGTGACACCACTTCTACTACCATACAGTGACTATAAACCTGTTATTAGATCCTATATCAAAGACCTAATGCAGAAGAAGTGGTGAGATAAACACATGAGTATTTATTAAAAGGTGAGGCTCCTCCGTTTTGTATCCCTTGTGATGAAAGAATCACGGTCAAGCATGTCCTGCTTGACTTATTGATTTTTCCATCACAAGGGATAAATATTTCAGCGCAAAAACGGTCAAGGACCTTTATAGTAAAGTTAGTTCTCATTTAATGCTATGTTTGTTAAAGTGAGTTAGTGAGTATTGTTTTACGCCGCTTTTAGCAATATTCCAGCAATATCACGGCGGGGGACACCAGAAATGGGCTTTACACATTGTACCCATGTCGGGAATCGAACCCGGGTCTTCGGCGTGACGAGCGAACGCTTTATGATTGTTAAAAGAAATAGAACTTATTCATAAATTGTGATGTATTTACTGTATTGTTTTAAAAATTGGTAGTGCTAATTAATAACTTAGATTGTTAGTGGCGGTACTCTCGGGGGAGGTTGAAGTAGCGTAAAATAATTGTCCCCATAAGAGGGTATGTAAGTTCCACATCAGTCGAAGTATTTTTATGCAGTTCCTAGACGTTTATCTCTTAGGTGAAACGCACGATCATATGGTGCTGACAAACCAACACATTGTTCGAGCTGATCTAGGATTCGAACCCAGATCATAGGTTCCTGACACGCTTAAGGACGCAATTTTGCCCAGCGTATGGCGGTGCCATAGACGACTTGGACAGCCGTTCCCCCAAAATATCAACCGGATAGTGTATATGGTGATAGCGGAGGCTTGATAGAGAGAGCATTATTAGAGTGGATTCATCATTATGTTGTATTTATGATATCTTGGTGAAGAGGTATATATACTGAACCGCAAAAGAAACGTCACCATGGATGGAGAAATGAGAAACCTCATTTGTCCAAACACTGAAAACATACTTTGAGACATATTAAAAAGATTAAACTTGGCAAAACTGATCATAAAGGTTGAAATTAAAGTGTCAAATGTTCTTAAAGTTAAACACTAGTCTCTGAGAAAATGGCATCACAAGTCAGTATTTCGTGTGTTCGCCATGTGCATTGATGATTGCCGGGCAACGTCGATACATTGAATGGATGAGGCGTTTGATTAAGGCCGTAGGTACTTGAGCCCACACTCTGAGGAACGCCTGACGCAGTTCAGCTGCAGTTGTCGGCCTTGGTCGGACTTCATTCAGCCTTCTTTGAATCTCGTCCCACAGGTGCTCAATGGAACTAAAATCGGGACTAAATGGTTCTGATGCCATTCTGCTTGAGGAAGTCTCTTGTTGCTCTCGCAGTGTGGGCACGGGCGTTATCATGCTGAAACTCGTGGTTGCGGCGACGTGCCAAATGAGGTATGGCGTGTGGTCTCAAGACTTGATTAATGTACCGAGCTGCTGTGACACCATTGCCTCTCCCTGGACCGATGTTCTGGAAGACCACAGGGACGAACCTCTGTGCAAGACCAATTTCACCCCATACCATGATGCTCGGACCACCCCACAAGTCTCTTTCAACAACACAAGCATCCGAATAACGTTCCCAACGGCGTCTCTGCCATCTGCTGTTGAGATTCAGTAACGGCTCTCGTCTCCACTGCGGGTCTCGTCAAAGCTGGTACTGTGTTGCCCACTGAAGACGGTCCCGGCGATGACGTGGTGTCAGAATGGGTGGCCTGTGACAGTGGAGGTGTCTGCTCGTCAATGGTCGACGCACGGTGTCCGCACTAATGTGTTGCTGGTGTGTCCCCATGGTCTGTAGAGCAGTTTCCGCAGCATTAACAAAGCGATCTTGAAGGTGCCGTCTTATTATCTGACGATCCTGACGTCGGGTGGTGACCCTTGATCTTGAAGGTGCTGTCTTATTATCTGACGATCCTGACGTCGGGTGGTGACCCTTGATCTTCCACTACGTGGTCGGTCATCTTTAGTGTTGGTGGCCTGGTACCGTTGCTGGAGTCTGTATATGGTCCTTACGTGGACTTGAAATGCAATGGCTACTTGCCGGGCGGTTTGTCCAGGTTGCAATCATCCAAGGGCTTGGTGTCGCTGATTTCTTGGCAATCTTGGTATGTGGTAGCAATTCAATAACGAATGAATGTTATCCGATCGGGGTGGATTTTTATAGGGCAAGAAATGGGGCAACGCATGTGCATTTCAATTTGCACGGAACTCACGTGCATCGGGTTACTATGGCCATTGCCGTGATGCGTTTGGGCGATCGGTTTTATTGCCATCTGCGTTGTTTTTTATCATCATATTTCATTTCTACGGACAAGGTAATGTTAATTTTTAGAAACTTTGACCAAAATTACCCAGATATTTAAATGACTACTTTTCATACAATGTTACTTGGGGTGACGTTTCTTTTGCGGGTCAGTATATATTCCGCAGACTGCAATCGGAAGGTGCTCGGGGCGGGTCAGTATCTCGGATTAGTTTCACAGCTGAGTGCACCCTCAATGGTTCACTCAGTCTGTAATTCAGCCTATCAATTCCGGAAAAAAATAACGATTAAACCTCGAGTTGCACGAAGCATGAAAACGTAATTGGTTCATTGTAGCTTGATCCTTGGTAAACATAAACTGAGTGTTTATAAAAGATTATGTACTAAATATACATACTAAACTTCAAGTAAACGTCATCACTTAAGAATACGAAGTCAATACAACAATTGAGTGTTTATTGAAGGTTGCGCTTTTGTTGTTGTCATATTACACAGAGTGGATTTGCTCAAGGGACCATGAATGTCGGAATACGGAACAGACATTTCAGATGATATCATGAGGGGCTGTGCAGGACCAAACGTTTGGTCGGATTAGACAGATGTCGGATCACACAGTGTCTACTGTATTTACATACTGCATTCCAACATGTTATGGCAGGACGAATGAATATTATAACCTTATGTGTAACACTGACAATTCTATGGGATATTTGTTCCAGAAAATAATCTTTCCTTTAGATTTACACACAACCAAGAACTCCCGAAAATAATTGTTTGTCTTGAAGCACAAACTATTTAATGGCCGGCAAATAAATAAAGATTTTAAAATATGTTATCATTTATTAAAGTCAAAGAAAGGGAAATGATGATAAATTCTAAACTATCAATCTTTGACAATATAAAGACTTGCAATTAGTTACTATTGGTAGGTAAATACGTCAGTCATTATATAGCGTTAGAGTATGCGTACCTGATGAAACGACATCCATTATCGGTACATCAGCTTCATGTGCCATGAATCCAAGAATTGAGAAGATTACAAGACCAGCAAACATGCTGGTTCCTTCACACACAAATGTGCAAAGTACAGCATTCCTGAATTCACAAACATACCATCACATAAATTGCTTGATAAAAAAGACAATTGGAACAAGTAAAATGTCCATTCATCTATGTAACATATAGGGATTGAGTATTTAGGCAAGCAATAGCCATCCCATGGGCACCAATCGGGATCCCTCCTTGCTGATCTATTTCTTTTATGCACACGAGTCAGAATTTCTGCTCAGATTGGCAAAACCCAAACAAGAGCATTTTTGTGTTTAATTTACACCAGGAATACGTGATTCTGTGGCTTGATTGGTCATCGTACCCCGACAGCGAGTGAGGCTGCTCATAATATCAATCACTGGTTTGTCTGACTCCAGTGTCATTGCGGAGTGGGGTGGGAAACAACAAAACAATAAAACAAAAAGGTTTTAACAAAGAAGCTGTTGCCGAAGTTTACTTTTTACTTATTAGATATGCATATGGAAATGTCATGTTCAACGCGTGCAATCATTCCATAAACCATAACTGCAACGATTAATTAGCGTATACTCTTGAAACCCCAAGAAGGGTTACAGTTTGTTCTCAGTGAGACGTGAAACAACAAACTTACAAAGGATCGCGATTACGAGTGTGAGTATATCACTGGCGCAAAACGTTTTTCACTTACCTGAGACAGTTTGTATTGAATTTGTTGTAACTCGACATGGTTATGATACAACCCCAGGCCGGACCCAGGGAGTAGAACACCTGGAGACACGCCTCAAGCCACACCTGATGAATAAGAGAACACTATGTGAAATAGAAACATTTGTGATAATGTCATTATATGTTCCACCATCTGCTTATACTTTCTGCTGATTTATTGATATCTTGTGACCTGCATAAGTTTTAATTCCAAGCTTCGGATATCTCCTGCCATAAGTCAACATTTACGCAATTCGTATATCCGTTTTTATAGCGTCGTATGCGCTTTAACATCTTTGAACCACACGCCTTTTGGATGTAATTGCTTATCGTCGTACCTGTATGTCCAGAAGTTTACTGAAGTTTGGAGTGATGTAAAAGAGAGCTCCATCTGTTCCTCCAGGGAGAGTCAGGCCACGTACCAACAGAACAATCAGGATGACGTAGGGCAATGTAGCTGTCACATAGACAGCCTAAAACGAGGGCAAGAGCCACATGATTCAGCCGTGGGTGACGTCAGATATCATCATATAACAGTAAATTTTAACTATTTCAAATATAAAACTTTAATTTAGACTAAATACACCGTTCTTCTTAAATTCAAGTATCACGATCCGAACGGATATGAAGTTTTACTTTGTAACTTGTAGATTTCGTTCGTAACTTCTAAGCAAAATGTTCCAACCTTTCCAACAGACCGAACACCTTTGACAATGCATAGAAAGACGACAACCCACGACGCAAGTAGACAAAGTGCTAACTCCATTTTGATTGGGCCGAGATACTCCAGACCCCTCGTTATGGCAAGCGCTTTGTATCTACAAGAAATACATACAAATGAATTAATTATAATTTGAAAGGTGGAATATGTCACCAACGCTTCGTACTAGACTTGTTGACTTGAATTCTGAGGTACCATAGACTACCAGCAATTCATACTACTCAACTCTCATTCTGATGGTATGTAAGACCACCTCTTTCAAAGTTTTATATCTACCTCCATTTTAACTGCAGAATATTTGTTGATTTTAATCTCTGGCTAAACTTGCAACAATCACCAGTAACTTGGGTAAAGGTGTAAATCCTGCTGGGGAACCATGCAGGTAGCAGAGGTACCGTAAGTCCCCTTGGTCACTAGTATGGTGACTTTAACCTTGTTGCTGGTGATCTATAGCCCCATTTTTATATTGTGTCGTATCCAACTGATCAAATAGTTTTAATGTTCTACAACTAGTTTTACGTCAATCTGTGATATATTGCTAGTTATTCTCTTGTCTTTCGTCGACAGTTTTTTATTAATCTTGTCCAACTCGTTCAAGTCACATTATGGCTGAAATATTGCCGACGTGACTTTAATTAAACCCACTCACTCACTCACTCACTCACTCACTCACTCACTCATTCATTCTGATGGGGGAGAATTTCCCAAAAGCTTTTGTTTGGCTGACATTCTAAAGTGAAATATATAGGGACATATATAGCAAACACTTAATAAATCCACATACTGCCAAAATTCTTCTGCTGCAGTAACAGATCCGTTTTTCCAACCTTCAATGACAAAGGATGTGTTGGAGATGGTATTGTTGTCCGATTGACTGAACTGGCTGGATGTGTTTGCAACTGTGGAGATGAGAAATACAGATTACCAGTTGATATCGCTAATAGAGGCAGGCATGAAGCTGAGGGATGTCATACCAGTTGAGACACGTACATTTCGCTTCATTCCAATTTACTGATTCACTAATGTCGCTTGGGGACGTTATAAGCACCTAATCCACCTGAGCTATGCCATGTGACATCAGAAAATGGTACATGAACTTTCTTCTAGGCACACAAAGGTATTCTGTTAACAGCTAAACACACTAAAAATCATAACATAGCGACAGAGTTCATGCACGTCTGGATATTAGTATTGTCCCCCTGACAGTGGCACGTAATTTCATCTATGTTGAAGTTTATAATATCAACTAGTGTTTTAATGTATTGATTGTGCTTCCCTTTTTTAATATTGGTTTAGCATTACACTCACCAAAGTGATGGCATAAATCCTGCCGGGAATCACCCAGGAAGCAAATGCACTGTAAGTCCCCATGATTCCCAGTTAGGTGATCTAACTTTGGTTGCTAGTGGTCTATAGCCTGGTGTTAATTTATAGGAACTAATCTACGGAAAAATTCTATGTTTTATTATTGCTTGTGTTTGTTTTATACCTAAACTGTGTTATTTATCTGACTGGTTTACTGTTCTTCGTCGACAGGTCTTTAATTATGGTAACTACCTTGTTCTCATCGCGATATGACTGCAATATAGCCGATGCGATGTAAAATTTTAACTCACTCACTCACTTTTGATATAAGCTTTAGTTATTCTCAAAATATTGAAATAGCTTTCTGTATCCTGTATTCTGTATCCTACAGTGGTCTTACATTTCTTGTATTCTGTACAATATTCATTTTTGGGCATGGTGATGCGAGTAAAGGAGGGTCACCACTGGGATTCGTTCACTCGGTGGTTTGACAAGGCATTAAACTTTTGCTATATCCTTGACATTCCAATGCCACTATATTTTATTTCGTTTGGTTGGTTGTTGTTTAAGGCCGCCCTCAGCAGTAATCCAGCTATATGACGGTGGTCTGTAAATAATCGAGTCTGGACTAGACAGTCCAGTGATGGACAACACGAGCATCGATCTACGCAATGGGGATATGACATGCATCAACCAAGTCAGCGAGCCTGACCACCCGATCCAGTTAGTCGCCTCTTACGACAAGCATAGTCTCCTTTTACGGCAAGCATTGGTTGCTGAATATCTATTCTACCCCGGATATTCACGGGTGTAATGACACCATTTGTTGTAATTGATAAATATTTATTTCAGTGAAATTCACGGGTGTTTTTCATGTTTCACTGTTTCATCTGAATTTTCAAGGTTAAGTGAAATTGGGTTTGGCGTCGTGTTCAGGATTATCTCACTTATATAGCGACGTGCACGTGTTCCCCGACCTTCCGCTCTCCGGGCAGGCGCTCTATCCACAAGACCACTGAATTTTCACAGAAAACCATTCACGTTCAAAACATATTTTCTTTGTATGTCACTTGTTTACAAAATACAAAAGTTGAGGGTACTTGCAGAGGAACTGTGCCCCAAGTGTTCAATCGTAGAAAGTCCGAAGGTCCGAGTCATTTAAGTAGCCACTTGTCCTGCTGTCTTCATCATTCATTATTAATAAGCTATTATGTTCTACTTGTTACCGGATGTGGGATATATATTATGGCCTTTGAAGTAACAAAAAACACATTCGTCGTGGGGTTCAACTTTTTCTTCGTATAGTCATGTAATTTGTCAATTAACCGGACTTCTTGAAAGTTCAAAACATTTATTGATACCTAAGTCTGATGGTTGCACACTGACTGTAACATTTACATAGATTTACAAAGGGTATTGATCATGGCTGCATTACATTTACTGTGACCTACACACTGTTATTTTTTATTTGTAATCTGGCTTTGAGGGACACATCCATATAAATAATCGCCATTACTAGCGGTAAGATTGCGTAAGGAATCACTCACTCACACTTCCCTCAGAAACCAACACCTCCACATTCTCCTACCTCCACTGAATACTTGGTTCAGGTGTTTCACACTTGTCACACATGCGTCGGTGTTCCACGGGTTGGTACAGGACGTCCATGGTAGGACAGTCCTCAGGGAGTAGAATGCATAGTACAAAGACCATGCACAGATGACTGTGGAGTAAATCAAAAACCCGGAACAGAAGATCAGCATCCCACCACCAAGCCCTGTGGAGGAATATGTGAGCTTAATGTCACAGGACCCTAGAAGCAAAATTGACCATCTTTTGTAATCTAATCTGGAAATGTGGTCATTCTGTTCTCAAGTTTGCTGGTTATCAGTTCCAGCATTATTATATTGAAGTTTGTGCATTATCGTTACATGATGACCTGCATTATTTTAAGCAAGGGGACAATGGTTAATGTACACAACCCGCCCTACAGCCAAACTTAATGAACATTGATAATAGTCATTGCCAGTACTTAGAGACTCTTACCTTTCACCAGAGGGCAGAGACTCCATACATGTGTTGCACTACTTCCTGAAAACTGTCCCAGAGCCACCTCAAGGAAGTACAGAGGCAGACCACACAACACTAGACACACGACGAAGGGAATCAAGAACGCCCCTAAAATAGATATGACATATATGATACAGGTTCTGGCAGAACCGTCGTTTTATGCGCTCCATGTCGCCGTGCCATGATCCGATGATTGTGGGTTCGAACCCTAGATGTTTCCTTGTTATGGTTCAAGGTTTGTCAGTACCATGACGGTGCTCATGGATTTCACAAAAGTGGTAAAGGTCTGAGACCTGCATAAGTTTAAGGTTTTCCTACCATATTATGGTGACATGTCTTGACATTCGAGATCAATCCAACTCAACCACTCTGGTTTTGTTGGTTTGTTGTTCAACGCCAGACTCTGTACGGAGGTCTATAAATAATCGAGTCTGGAGCAGACAATGAAGTGATTGACATCATGAGCCTCGATCAACGATGACATGCAACAACCAAGTCAGCAAGTCTGACCACTCGATGCAGCTAGTCGTCTCTTTTGGCAAGCATTGGTTGCTGAAGAACTAATCTCTACCCGGATCTACCCATAAAGCTGCCGCCCCCGAATCGATCTTCTTCCATGAAACAATGATTGACGTAACGTTCACCTCGACGTCGGTACACTTGAATCCGTCCATCGCTGTAGCTGCGGTGAAAACGAGACTCGTCAGTGAATAGAACTTGTCCCAAATGCATGGCCGTCAAGCGTAGACGCTGTCTGCACCACTGTAGACGTGCTTGACGGTGGTTTCCTGTCAAAGTGGGACGTCTGGCGGGTCTTCTGGTGACAATCCCTGCAAATCTGAGGCGGCGACGTACGGTTTGTGAAGATATTCGTCGAAGGCCAGGGATGCTTCTTTTGCAGTCACTGTTCCTGGCTGGAATCGATTTCGTAGGTGTGTTGTTCGAATCCAGTTGTCGTGTCGATTATTGGTTACGCGTGGCCTGCCACACCGAGAATGGTCTCTGATTGCATTCGTCTGTTGCCAACGTTGCCATAAACACCAAATGATGTTTCTGTGGACGTTAAATGTTCTTGCAACATCACGTTGACTCGATCCTGCTTCAAGCATACCAATAGCTCGCAGACGCTCATTTTCGGACAGGCGTGGCATTTCGTAATGTTGAATAATTGCGTCATTTTGATGTTTTTCTGAGTGGTTGTTGTCAGCACGATGCCAAACAATGCATATGGAATCCCGTTAACGCACATGTTTTATACCCATTCTTTGGTAGTGAAATCAATGGGGCTTACATAAAAGTCAACTTTTGCATGGAATGCATGCTGTTCTGTAGCAGTTGCGTTTTTGTGACTCGATTCCATATATGTACTACAAAATTGAAAACCAAACTTTACTTGTTTGAAAAATACACTAAAATGTTGGTGTCACGGGAACCTTTGTTGTTGAGTATACATGACGTTCCATGCGTCTAGCTTGATTGTCTAACTGATAAATATAAAAAATGACACCTGCTGCAAAAGACGCATTCTCTCTAACATTCCTTTGCTGTGATAATCTAGTTGTTTTACTGTCCTTCGTCGACAGAATTTTTTACAGTTTAGATATATATATTGTTAAAGTCAAATTTTATCTCGTCACGATATGGCTGCAATATTGCCGATGTGACGTTAAATATTAACTCACTCACTCACTCACTAACATTCCTTTGGGGTACGAGGACACACAATCAACAAAATCACCCGGCCTGTGACGCCAATGCATTTAGCCTCTTAATTATGACACTGCTAAAACACTTAGATGGTAGACAATGCTTCACGACCAGGACCACATTCTTGGCTAGTGTTGGCGTTGGTCAGGCTTTGGAAAAGCTCAGTGTCTTTGGGGGGTAAACGGTTGACTTGCCTGTGTGTGCTTTTGGCGGGTTTGCCGGTGAGGCGGGATGCGTTAGCCTCTTCGCGAGCGCCCTGCGTCGTCACTGTTTGGTGGTGTTTCATATACACATGCTTGTGGTGTGGTCGGAATCATGCAGTGGACTTTGCTTTTTCGCGAAGATACTTTGTGGTTGTGGATAGGGTTTTGTCTCTTTTTATTATCCCCCCGGCATATAGCGCGTGGTGATACAGTCGACGCCTCGTCTGTCTGTCCGTCCGTCCGTAATCATTTCGTTTCTGGAGCATAACTCGAAAACCGTTCAGTATTTTTCAACCAAAAATTGCTGAAGATTTGCTTTTTGCTATTTATGGATTTTTGTCATTTTTCCTTTTCTTGATTTCCATGGAAACAATTTATACTTGGTCTCATGAGGGGCGGATTTCGTTTTCGGAGCACAATTCAAAAACCTTTCAATATATTTCAACAAAACTTTTTAGATATATGAAATCGATGCTAAAGTGGTGCCTTATGCTATTTGCGGATTTTTGGCATTTTTATTTTTCTCAATCTAGTGATTGACATCATGAGCAATTGGGATACGATGACATTCATCGCCCAAGTCAGCGAGCCTGAGCACCCGATCCCGATAGTCGCCTCTTACGGCAAGCATAGGTTGCTGAAGACCTATTCTACCCCGGATCTTCACGGGTATATTCACTGGTGAACCGGATCAAGATTTGATTTTTCACATGCCACCACAATATAGCAGTAACTTTGTTGATTGCAGTGTGACTCAACACTACCTCCCTCAATCTACAGTGTACTTACCTCCTCCGTTCCTGTTGCAGATATAGGGGAATCGCCACACGTTACCAAGGGCAACACAGAAACCGATCATGGAGAGAAGGTACTCTATTTGCGAAGCCCAGTGTTCTTTCTCTCCTCTCTCTTTATCGTTGTTTTTGTTTGATTCCATCAGTTCTTCTGAGTCTTGATCGCTCTCATGATGGTCTTTATCGGACTCCATTTCTGAGACAAACTGTGAATCCTAACATCAAAGGAATAGATACAATATACGGAGGACAAAGCGAATAATATGAACATTGGTCATGTAGCAGCCTAAATGAGGCGAAACTATGTTTACAGTCCTCAATTTATAGTCAAAACCCCACGATGTCACTCTGGATTTGAAGTGGTCATTCTACGACGACGCCATACTGATCATTCCAAATGATATTTATTAACAAGTGAGGATCCTCAAATGAGCATCCCTTGTGATTGGGTTTTCATCGCATGGGATAACCTATTCAGTATCTCATCTCTGAAGGATCTACTAGTATTTGGCGCTATATATTTGCATTTAATAAATGATATTTTATATAAACTCCATTTAACAACTTCGGGTCGGGCGCAATAATATTTATTGAACTAAACTATACAAACTACATCCTTGTTTAATAACAGTTGGATGCTGATACATTCTAATTTAATAACAGTTGGATGCTGATGCAAGGCAAACTATCTTTGCAGCATGAAATGTCATAGATAAGCATGATAAACTCCCAACCTAAAATCTTGTCGTGGTAAGGAAACAATTTAACATGTTTTAGATTATTGATGGTATAGGAAACTTTGCAAAAGATCATACTGTCCTTCAGCTGGCATTTTGAGATAAGCAAACCCTGAGTCTGATCGCCAATCACCGAGGACTTTAATGGTCTCAAGTGGAACTCCACGTCGTACCCCCTTCGCGAAGGCTATGAGCACTATAATTGTGCACAGAGAGTCCTTGTGCGGTTAAGGCACGTCGCAGACGTGAGCGAATACAGTTTGCTGAGAACGTTGTCAATTGTCCCTCTGCCGACATAGTGAAAATTGGAGCTGAGAGGCACTGATCCGGCAATCCGAAAGAAACGCATAAGTGCCGTGGTTGGACACAGGGGATGCCCTGGATACAGGGGTCGCGTCACAAAATTGCATCTGGCACGCGCAGAACCGCCCCCTTTGTAGTGAACGTCACATCTGATTGGCACACTGATTTTACGTACTTCGCAGATACAGATCCCGCAGTAACATTGCCGATTCTCAATAGGCCAAAGCCTGGCTTGGTTGAGGAACCTGTACGTTGAACTTGCAGTAGCATGTTTAGAGTGAAAGGCAATTCGTAGTTAGGGGCGGATCCTTCGGTCCTCTTGATGCCCTTCAACATCGATGTTAAGAGAAAATTGGCCGTCAAGGGGTTGGTGAACCCAAACATCTGATGCAGTATGCGAGTTAAGTTCAAATACTTGGGAATCGAACTATAAGCATGGGTGCGTCCTAAATATGCAGCATAGCGACATATCGTCTGAGGTGTCGCTGGTCGCTGGTACAGGACACAGAGTCAGTGAGTTGGACTTAACGCCGCTTTTAACAGTATTCCAACCTGAGTTATATCGCAGCGTGTCAGCTTAATGTGGGAGGAAAGCCGGAAGTGATGCAGGTCTCAGACGTTTACCACTTCGGTGAAACCCACGAGCACGGGTATGGTACTGACAAACCTAGAAATATAATCGGGGCGAACCGGGATTCGAACCCAGAATCATAGGTTTCTGGCGGGACGCAACTCTGCACAGCGAATCGCGGCGCCTAGACGACTGGGCCACCCATGCCCCCGTAAGAACACACAAATTTAGGAACATCCTCGCATGACGACAGTATTTTGATAGGAGCAAAACGTTCCTGCAGCCACTGCGAAATTTCTTTGTCCGGGTTGCCTGCGACGTGTGGTAGGGCAACCAGTAACCAGGATCCGCAGTACACACCAAGACACAAAAGCACGAAGCAAGCATTCGAACTGTGAAGGGATATATAACCTTGATATGGCATCAGCTATCAAATTCTCGCCTGTGGTCGGATGGTAACAATAGCCTCTGTCTTGCGGGGAGACTAACATGACCACAAGGAGGTCAGGAGCTTATTTAACCTTCAAGGCAATGTGAGACATGAGCTGGAATGAATATCCTTGCTCTGGACGTACTGACCTTAGTATGACCAGAAACAATGGCATCGCTATTTTGTCTCATGTAGTGGTTAACTGATTGTATGAACATGTTTGTCCTTGGAAGTAGGATGATCAAGTCACCATTATTTACAAATCTAATATACGTACACTTACTTCATATCAGTTGGTAATTATTAGGGAGACGGACACCTTACATAGGAAATGCATGCACGTTTAACTATATCCCTATCAAAGTTAGTAGGCACAGTTTGGTGACCCAAGATTCCTATACACCACTACATTGTAGAGATGTAGTTTGATAGCTAATACTTGATGCCATTCCTTTAAAAATAATGCATATTCATATCAAACATTATGTTCAGAGAAATACCATGAGGCCTACGGTTCATTTCACATTTACAATGAGTTGATTAATAAACTATCTAAGAACAAAAATGTCTTTTATCCATTTGAATAGTCCCCGTTCTGTAAATATCGTAAAAATAGTTGTCTTGTTTCCATCCAATAATTGCATTAATTATGTCTTATTTATCATTACTTTGAATGAGACCTTGTCATGACAAGGCCTATGCCATTGCTGGGACAGGTTACAGCCTCTGGTGCAATAAACAATGACCAGTGTTAAAACTGTAGTTCGTTGTGTTTAAAGCCTCAAAGCAGTGTCATGAAGGAAATTCAATGGAAAGTAAAATATATATGAATCATTTTTGTTTTAGGGTCAGATATGGATCTATGACACCATGTTTATTATTACTTGCCCGTGAAGAGATCATCCGTTTAATAAACATACAACGGTATTACACATTGTGTAATACCAAAACGTGTGCTTATGTACTCGAACAAATATTGAAAGCTCTCAACATCCCTTGGCTTATTCAACGACATTGCGTATGAAGTTGATAGATCACTGAGAGGAGCTTATGCACACTCGATGATCCCAGCAACCTTGTTGCTACGCTGACGTCACATGGCATTGTTTCGCCGATGGATCATGCAACAAAATTCCACAATTTACGTCATCGGGTATTGTGACGTGATTGTAAACTTTGAGGTGCAAGGCCCGTTCCACAAGGCGATCGTATATTGTAGCGCAACGACAAACGTTAGTCTGTTAAAGTATGTGAGTTGCGATTAGCCCTACGATAATTTTGTGGAACGGACGCCTGATTTCTAAAGGTGGACCGTTGTATGGTATTAAATTCATACGTTTCAACTTTTGACGTGTTTGAAGTATTATTCTGTTAAACTCAATTGGACTATGCCGTGGATCGTGTAGGTGTCAGCCTATTCATACTCAACAGTATAATTCTAAAAACGTTATAAATGGCAAGTAATAAATGAAATACTAAACTCGCTCCCTTGTAAAACCAATTTTATGAAACTCGTGAATAGTTGTGGTATCTAACTCGCTTTCGCTCGTCAGATACCACAACTATTCACTCGTTTCATAAAATTGTTATTACACGGGAGCCAGTTTAGTATTCTATATTTATGCTACTGTTATAAACGTTCTTTCATATTGAAAACGGGGGCACGGGTGGCCCAGTCGTCTGTGGCGCCGCGATTCGCTGTGCAGAGTTGCGTCCTTTGGGCACGCCAGAAACCTATGATTGTGGGTTCGAATCTCGGTTCGCCCCAATTATGTTTCTAGGTTTGTCAGCACCATACCCGTGCTCGTGGGTTTCACCGAAGTAGTAAACGTCTAAGACCTGCATCACTTCGGGCTTTCCTACCACATGAAGCTGACACGCCGCGATATGACTGGAATAATGTTAAAAGCGGCGTTAAACCGAACTCACTCGTATTGAAAACTGTATGGTTGTTGATATATCTAAGTTAACGTTTGGATTTTGAACATTTTTCTTTCAATAATAACTGTCTCCTGAGGTTTTAAATAAAGTATTCAATAGCGAAGGAGAAAAAATCTCATAAATAATTAATTATTGGAATATATTTTGTGTCATTTTTCTGCAACAAATACTTGTTTGTGGCATTTTTATCACCAGGTAAAGATGAAATATCCTTTATTCAAAAGCGTTTGTTACACCAATTGTTTGATGAAGAAGCCAAACATGGCTTTTATTGTAGTCACCCCAGTACATAATGTTTCAATTACACATCCAGTCGGACCCAGTTATCTCGAGATTCATCATCTTGAAAGTACCGATATCTTGAACCCTTTCCGGTTCTGACTTAACAGTAGAATTTACTCTTTAGTATCTTTATCTCGAAGTTGACATTAGCCACATCTGTGAGAAGTTCTCCCAGATATGCTGTGTAATCCTGAATGAAGTTAAAAACAGAGATCACTCGTAACAATGTCTAACTTAGTGTCATTAACAGAAGTCAATGGCAAAAAAACATTTATCCTGACTTTTTTCGTTAAAAAACATATTCAACGTTGTATAATTACCAAGACCACGTGCAACTCACTCATATGTTGCCAACCCTGCATGTACTAAATGTGCTCATGTACATTTGCATATTTTTTGTATAAATTTTTGCTTGCGAAAAACATTTAAATATCCAATTAGTCATCATCATTGACGCATAGGAAACGGAAATGGCAACAGCACTGTAAGATTTGATTAATGAATCTTGAATTAGGCATTGTACAAAACTTTTGTGAAACATTCATTTGCCCGAGTTGGCACCAACATGCTTTTACGTTGCTAAAGTTGTAATTACAATATTTAACTGCATTAAGTACTTGGTATTGATTTGCTCAACACAAATATCGATATTGTAACCGTATATGTTTTGATATTATCACTAATGAGTGATGAAATCATACTACATAAACAAGGAAGTAATAGAGAAATCGATGGCCTCATGTAACATGTAAATTAGTCCTTAGATTTCAGTATTCACCTGATTGTCCAAGAGTATTTTGACGCATAAGTCGTGTTACTGAGGTTTTAAAGCTGTTTGCTCACACTTTTTAGTCTTGGTTGGGGATTCACAAGAATAAGTCTTCGAGATATTACCGGGTCTAGGACTGAACTCGTTCAAAAAAACATGATTGACAAATTTTTAGCATTTTT